TATACTGTACGTACATAGCTTACCATTGAACTTGGTTATTTGGAGTACTACCGAAAGAAATGGTATCCAGTTGTTGTGTTTGGGGTTGTACAAGACAAAGTGCAGATTCCAAAGAGAAAGAGGTCTGGTTCTTAAGATTTCCCAAGTTCAGAAAGCAGCGAATCAAATGAATACAGTATCGGTACATATACATTGAACCATAGGTAGATTGAACATCTGTACGTGTTCTTACGAATGCAAGAACACTAATGTTGTAGTTTATATACTACTTATGATGGAAGGGGGAGCATACTCAGAAACAGCTTTCTCGTACGCACAGGAAAAATCACGATTATTCAGTTTTTTTTACAGAGCACTAAAAATCCGGCTTGATCAGAAACTAATAACAAAAACGATTTAGAAAGAAAAAAATTCTTCAAAAACGATGAAGAAAAAAATGAACAAAGCCAGAAAAACTGAGAGAAAATGATCATCAAACTCACATCCCCGTACATTTTCAATGGCCCGCCCACACTTCTTGCCGCCAAGGCCAAATTTTGTGCACATGCGTTCATAATTATGAATTTATTAATGAAAGGTATATCCTTTGAAATAGTGACGAAAAGGTTGAAAATAAGGTTAACTGAGACACAAGGGTGAATGATGGTTTGTTTTAAAGCAAATTGATTGCAACCACCCTTTAATTGGGAAGCTTTCAAGTGCGTCCCTCCGGCATTCCATGTTATCTTACAATCATAATGAGTGTTTTGGCGCTGTAGGCCCTACCCAGCATTCCACACTGTTTGTTACATAAGCATATCATGGCGGACACCCAAGGAGCGGTATTCTGTTTGAGCCCGAAGATAAGTTGCTTTTGACTCTTGTGTGTACCCACTGCCTTCAACTGGCTCACAGAAAGGATGATTTGTGCCCGGAAAATGTTGTCACAGCTCGGCACTGCTGACGAAACCAATAACACCGTCCGACACGTCCATATAATACGGCTCATCTAGATTTACAGCACGCTGATGCGAAGTGCAGGAAATTAACGACATTCGAGCCTCTCGATACGGGGTTATCCGACCAGACACACCGAGTTTTGTTTATAGAATGTCAAGAGTTCGACTGGCTCTGATTGCACCGCAAGTTCGTGAATGGCGGGTTCGATTCCACGGATCCGGAACTCTATAGCTGTGGTTCGAGCCAAGAGATTGTGGATATCTAGGGCATATTGGTAAACTCTACCACCATCCGTCAAAGGGCCACGAGTCGCATTAGCTTGTAACTGTTAGTCTGAGTGAAAGTTCAATAATAAAATCACATTGAAAGTACATAAAATTTTGTTGGAGTATGGAATCGAAACGTTCTTGCCTTTCTTGACGCTTAAAGTCAAAACGGGAAAATTTTCGACTGGGCATGGGCATCAATCGGTGGAGGACGGGGGACGTCATATTGTTCCCCCCCCCACACACTCAGGTTTTGGAAACTTTTTGTAAAATCTGTTGATTCGTTTTTCAGGTTAGCTGTTTTATGACTCCAAATTTTAAGGAAAAAATGTGGTGCTTGGTACAACGGTGCAAATTAAAATAAGAAAACGGGAAGCCTCAAACAGTTTTATTTACACCTTATGGAGGCTTCTTGTTTCAATTATTCTCTTAATTGCATTATTTACTTTGTTACATTTGAGTGCATCATAAATAAAACTTATTTGAAAAAAAAATCATGCAATAGTTAAAAAAGGTCAGAAAATTTCCTCAAGTCTCACCACAGAGCATTTAAGATTCCGACATTTTCCGGGGCCCTTAAGTGGGCCCCGAATCTCACGCCGTCAGAACGTCGCACTTCGTGCTCGCATTAGTTTTAATCAAGACCCCCCCACACACACACACATTTGGAGAAAAAAACGCCCATGCGACAGAGCAAGCTTCTGCCTGCCGAAGTCATAAACCACTCTGGGATGTCTCACACAATATAGCAAGTGACACTTAACTGCTGTGGAAGTCAGACTGAAGGCTCGACAGAAACATCCATAAATTTAACTGGCAGAAAGGAAATCCTAAACTCTAAAAGACAAAGAATTCAAAGCGCCCTGAAAAGCGACCAGCTACTCTCGCAATCTTATCTCTTGGTGGCGCTCTTCTCATGCAGGCAATGCTTTCAAAATGGCGGCGGGATTTAACTCAGACGCGGCGCTGACGAGAGCGACGTGACAGACAGTTAGCCTACTCAGCTACGTACAGCTGGCTCAGGACAAAATAGGGAGAAAGGCTAAACAGCCAGAGGAAAGCTGGACAGCCCACGGCACCATGCTCTATGAAAGAACGAAGACGCTGCCGGAATTGAGGTCAATCACAACCTCCGCAGATTGCAATCACAACACAGGAGTTTAATAGGAGTCTAGGAGAGAGAAAGACCACTTGTGTTGAGCGCACGGAAGATCAGACCTGTCATATACATGTACGACCACGCTTGCATTCAACCGGTCCGAGGTCGTAAGGTACCGGTACATTCAAGCTACGGACATACCTGTACCGGTACAGCCAAACAGACTTCTCCAAAGAACAGGAACAGCCAAATCAATGTTTCAAGATGAGAAGTCGGGACCACTTATCTCATGGTAGGCGTTTCTATTCGAATTTGCTGTAGACCCTAGGTGAATTATAATGATATGGAAGTGTAGCAGGCCTACAGTGTACCATTGCTTTTTCTTCGAAAGTGTTTGATCAGTTGGGGATGTTTGGTTTAATTAATTCAATGTTTCTTAAAGGTGAGGTGTAGTCGGTGGCATAGATACGTGAGCACACAAAAAAACGTGTGCAGTAAATCATCCATGGTACCAAAGCTACATGTATCTGAATGATATTGCACATCTTGCCGTGTGGGCATTTTTTTCTCAGAACAGCAACCGTAAAATGCAACAAGCCAGCACATCCTCTGCACTTATATACACATAAAGATATGCACGTGTAGATCGTTTGCTTGACTTCATGGCAGTTGCATTGCTGGATAGAAGGAAGGACAATACGCCGACCCTGGGGCGGCCCTGATACCGAACTCCCTCGATGTGTACTCGGGAGAAAGCAATTTGTATTCGCAGAAGAGCAAGTCGATATTTAGGGCACAGCTGCGTTGCTTGTTGTTCCAACTGCAACGCATTGTATGTGTACAGAATGCCCCATAAACTGTGTAAATTGGAAGCACATGCATTAATTCACGCTATTTTCCTCGTACCTTCCTCACGTGCATCAAAAATTCATGACCCTGTTTTCCTCAGTCGTTTTCTTTCAACTCTTCTAACCTGACTTTTTTTCCAGCCAATTCTGGTGGTTCCAGTACACCTGTAGCAAGCTGTATTTTCTTATCATTGCTTGTTTTAAAGCTTTCACTAGCTGCCTTCACAGAAGTATGTTTAAGTATTTCGGTACAGAAATAATTACAAACGAAGGTTAATATTTACAAATGGGTCATTTTGGAGACATTTTGTGGTAAATCTTTTAGCATTAGGGAGACATTGCCTTTCAGGGAGACATTTCAGTGTCTCCTTATTTTCAAACTACCAGAGGGAGGCCGAATTTTACCGTCCAAATTTTGAGAGATGATAGATTAGGGTCTAAATTGAAAACATACAAAGCTTGGTTCAGATCAGACAAGGGAATATTGAATTATGGCACAGTAAAGTTGGAAAAATTGTGTGCACGTTCTTATGGGAATGTCTCCCTAATTAGCGGTAATGGAAATCATTGTTTCATCATTGAAGTCGATAAGCTGTATTTTGCGTCAGCTGCAGGCATTAGTTTATTTTATTTCATTTCACTTTTAATTTCTAATAGCTGTGTTTGATATTATGGAAACACGAAAGACGAACATGCACTAGAAACTCAACCAAATTAGTAGCATGTTTTTGAGAAGGACTATCATAAAATTCGTATCAGAAAAATCCACGATTCATAACCGCGATTGAAATGTATAGGGTTGGCTTTAAAGACAACACCGTCATTTGTCTTCAGCTTCACCGAAGGAATCAACAAAGCACAGTATCAGATCGACGGCGGCATCGTATAAAGAAGACAATTCGTGTCAGGTGTGAATGTTATAATGCAATGTCCTCGTCGCGGCCTCCGTGTCATCGAACGCTCAACTTCTGGCCGCCTGCCAACCCCTGTGCAAATGTTGCCATAGCACCCACCTACACTGTGCGCGCCAGGTTTGATTTCTGCATTATTCATGCAAAGATGATGAGAAAATAAATCGATGCAAACACGGCCGTCATTCGGAGTTTTTTCTCTTCTGTTCTGTCTTCTGCTATTACAAGATAACCTTCGTGGTCAACTTTTTATGCAGTTTGTCGCCAACCGGCACACGATTTAAGAACTTGACAAGTGTTTCTGCAATGGAACTCTTGAATTTTACAATTTACATAACAATTTAGTCGTTCGCCACATGCGAACTTGGTCCAGTATCACCAATGTTTTGGCTTGGGTACATGCCTCCACAGGTGATATACAATGCAAGACAGGCACATGAAACCTGTGCAGTAAACTTTGGCGGGAGACAATGGCTGCATCAAGACATTTTAAAACAATTTACAAATGACGCATCCCTCAGCACCCGTTTCTTACTGAGCTTCGTACTGCTTGAAACGAAGACTAATTCAGTGCGTTCTCGACATGTCCCTACACGCGAAGTTTCTCTGTGTAATTTGTAATAGCTAGCGTTGAGTGAAAGTGAAACCTCGGCACATTTCCGTCTGAAATGTTTTAATGTCAAACTGACGCAGATGTCTGAAATGAATGACGTTCTTAAAAAATAAAAAGCAGTGTTCTATTTTTAAAATTTCATTCATGGTACACGGCATGAAAGCAGTTACTGAATGGCTGAGGAGTTATGTACCTGTACCTCGCCGATGGCGATGATCAGTTTAATCAAACACCAACTGCATGCATTATTTGCCCGTAAATATTACTGGTTCAGTATAATAACATATGCATGCTATCACTTGGCCAATTAAATGCCTCACCCGAGACAGCTGCTGGTTTGGTAGGTCCACTTCCTGCCATGGGAACCCCATCATCCCTAGGCCTATCCTTGAAGCATTTCCCGGGCGAGTTGTTGCAGAACGTTCGCCTGCCTCGACTAGACCGCCTCTTATTACCAAGTCACGATCTCTTTGCCAGTCAGTCGTTAAGCGGCCAATCAGTGCACGGCTTAGTCACTCCGCCCACCAACACCAACTATACCTGCGCGTTACGGCGCCGTTGTGATGCCACATCGCGGTGAGGGTGAGGAGATAACCAGGCGATGTGACGTTAACAAGTACGCATGAGTGTAAGGTTTTGCGAAGTTGCCGAGCATGTGTGTACAGGTAGTACGAAATTATACATGCCAGATGTTCGCGCGTGACGGACTCACTTGATATTCTATCTCATTTTGACCGATTTTCGAGTGCAGTCGATACACGTAGTTTGCGTATGCACTTAATTCTCGCACGTCAAGTTTTCAGTGCTCTGTGTAATTGCTGTGTTTGTTTGGATGTTGCAGACGCACGCCATCATCTCGTTGCAATCATCAAGGGCATTAAGGATCAGTGTCCGTGACATACAAATATAAAAAAAAAATGTGTAGTTATTACACAGCTGTGGTTGTCGAGGAGTCACAGGTTTGACACGCCGTGTGGGCAAGGCGGTCTGCGGTTGATGTCACACCGTACAGGAGTCGCTGATACGCAAGCCCAGCCAAGAAAAAAATTACTCAATGGGCAGTCACTGCGTGACATCATCCACTGTGCCGGTGACATGCTCGACGAGCGAACGGCACTGCTCGTGTGTCAACGGTTGGGCAACAACAGCGCCGACACTGGAGCCGAAAACACTCAACAGAGTGAAGAGGCGACGGCACACGTTTATGGAGAGACACTGCACTCATGCGCATGCATGTATTCCAAGTCTGCTCATCAAGTGACGTTCGTGTTGATTTTTTAAATTGCTTGAGCTCTTGTTTTCGGATGGATGGTTCTAGACATTCGACACGGCTTCAGTTGCTAGTGCGTTGCTCGACTCTAGCCAGAGTGTCATTTCCGACCAGAAAGACTAGTTGACTATGAACTGCATGTAGCTTGACAGCTGGGAATATTGGACCAAGATGCCTTTTGAAAGTCTTGAGAATTAATTAGAAAGTACTGTAAACAGCACAACGAGTGACATGTCCGTTCAGAGTGTGTTCCACTCGCCACACGATATGATTGTGCGCTTGTTTACATGATTTTGCTAAGACGTTAGAGCCAAACGGAGTAACTTATCTACACTTACTTTCCTGCAAACTCATCTACATGTACATTCGATTTTTGAACAGATGTGTCAGTTTCTACATCCCACGTCATTCACAATGATTAAAGAAGATTAACGTGAGTTGGCGGACAGCGAGGAATCTTCAAGGTATTACGAGCAAATGGCCGCTGTTATCAAGAGTGTAGTCAGCGATTGTTGTCTCGCCGTCATTTCTGTTTTCTCCCGAGACTCGAGTTGCTCAAGTTGATGGCATTACGATTTGCCGCAGAAAGTCTCCAGAGTTCAAGCTTCTTCCTGTTGTGATGCCGAATTGATAAGATTGCCGATCTTTGTCGTTTAAGTCTTCCCGGAAACCAAGAGAAGTCCAGTGAAATTGAAGAATTTCTTCGCCGACGGACAGAGTCAGTCACACATACAGATGGAGGAAAGCTTGGCAACGCCTTACAGAGCATAGCACTCGGTCGTTGCCGTGAAGTGCGTAGCCTAATGACAAAAGCTTTCATCTGAATAAAACTACGTTAGTTGAAGACCTTGAAAGGTACAGACAATTCTGGGTTCAGTTTTTTCTCAATCTGTCTTTAAATTCTGTGTTGGAAGGCACCTGACCTGTCTTGAAGCTTGCACTTTGCTGAAAAAAACGAACACTGAAGCATACCAACGTTGATACCAGCAGAAATAAATAAATAAAGTTATGCTCATGTCAACAAGCTCGTGGCACTTGACGTGACTGTACTGCACGTACGAAATAGCCTCCATACTGTGTGAAGTGGATATTGGTCTCACCAATCGCATTATTCGGTTACTGTGCAGTTCGGGAGAAAATTACGAGTGACCCATCTGCTGACCATGGACATCCGTTGGCTGAAGTGGTCAACACAACCCTGTTGACCAGCTGTTGTCAATTTCTGCTTTCAGTGTGATTACACGAACGTCGTCTTCGATCGCCTGAGTCACTGGAGTCGCCGATAATATTCTGTCGACAGCGCTAATTGCGGGGCGACCGTACCGTTGGCAACTATGAATGATGCCAGTGGTCCGAGTACCTACTGCAGCGACGATCAGCGTGGATTTTGCCTAGCATCTCTCGGAGCAGCCAGCGAGCTAGCTGGTGGCGGCAGCGGTGGGAGCGTTCTTGGAAGCCAACGGCATAGCTTCAGCGGTCTACGAGAAACCGCACTGACCCACTCTATGAGTGCCGTGCTGCTCGGAACACTGGCTCTCTTCGTAGCCCTAGCTTCGGTGTTCGGCCGATGGATTAAGAGGTTAGTGTCATTTTCACCCAAAACGCTCGCCCCGCCGAAGCTCTATCACCAGAATTCCCCCTTGTCACAATACCTTCGCGCGCACTGTTCGTCCCTCTCAAAGCCCTACTGCCCAACGTTTTGGGCGCGCAACGCGCACGTACAGACTCTCCTTGTTACCCTGCTGCCCCAAAAATGGGTCAACCTCAGTCGGGAGTATCTGCAGATGGACGACGGCGGTGTAGTGGCTCTTGATATTGCCAGGCCCGCGGGCTGGACGCTGTATAAGAACAGCCCAATCATGATCATCGTGCCGGATTTGAATACAGACTACCGTAGTGTGTCGGACTTGTCGTGGTTGGCCATGCAAAAAGGTTATCGGGTCATGGTATTCAACCGACGTGGCCACGGAGGAATTCCGCTGACCACGCCCAAGCTTCAGAGTTACGGGGATGCGTCTGACTTGAGAGAAGTGGTAACGTACATCCACCAAAGCTACCCGGACGCCAAACTCAGCGCCGTGGGCATCGGAGCGGGCGGCGGTCTCTTGATTGCGTTTCTTGGGGATTACGGTTCCTCGACAGATCTGGCCTCGGCTGTCTGCATCTCGCCCAGTTACGACTGCCAGGAGCTCTATGAATCACGCAAAATCTCCCAGCCGTACCACTGGCTGGCGTTGCAGCGTGCTAAGCTATCGCTCAAGCGGCATGCCGGCAACCTGGCCGAAGTCATTGATCCGGTAGCGGCCTTTGGCGCTTCGTCTCTCGCCCGTCTAGAAGAGGCCGTCTTCGCAAAAATTCATAAACTGCCGAGCATGAACGACTACTGGGAGGTTAACAATCCACTGCGGGAGGCGGACGAGATCTCAGCTCCATTGCTATGTCTTAGCAGCACGGATGATCCAGTCCACCCAAGTGACCTCGTACCCTATGACCTTTTCACCACGTTACCTGATGTCATGCTTGCCACGACCACACGAGGTGGTTATTGTGGATTCTACGAAGGCTTAAGACCTCAGTCATGGGCACATCGAGTTGCTGTGGACTACATAGACACCGTGCTGAAATACATTGTTTCAATTCGTGTGGGTACGAATAACCAGACGACTCGACCATAATGTAGACGCTACCTTAGGCATATTTCAATTTTAAATGTACATGTACTTGCTATACTTTTCCATTTACACTTGTCTTTAAAATATGTTCTTCGAATGACTGAGGCTATTTTGACGACGCACTCCAGCCTAATCGATAACAACAGTTCTAAAATATTGTCCTATCGCGAGTTAGCCACGCCCTTTAAACAGCACTGTAGAATTTTGTGCGTTGAGTTTTGTTTGTCTCAGATTTTGCGCATTCCGCGTCCATTTTTGCATATGATGTAACTGTACAGTATTTCACAAGTTGGGTTAACACGATTCTACCACGATAGATCAATTTCTTTCGTGGGTTCATCTCATGTAGAATTCTATACGCCTGCTTGAGGCTGTCTAAGCAATTTGCGAAATATTTGCTTAGGTTCCCCCGAGTATAGCTGTCCATAAAAGGGACTCTTCAGCTGATTGTTCTTGGAAATGTAAATAATGAAAATGCAATAAACAAGCCAATTGAACCGGCAGCGCTGGTACATGTACAAAACGTGTGAGTGATAACGGGCGCTGATTTTCAGTGTAAATGACAACGCGCGGTGTAGGAAGACTTGGCGCTGTACTTTCACCGGAGGATATTTTCTGCCGGCATGACTAATAACAGTTACCCATGTCTGTTGTCTGCAAAGGCTTATCCATGTTTTGGGTGGAAGAGAGCAATATGGAGATGTTTCCCACAACGCTTGCCTGCGTTTTTCCGTCCCTAAAAGAATCCTCATCCGCAAGAAATACGGTAGTATCGTTTCTAAAGTGTTTGTGATTTCAATTGAAAAGAAAAAGGCAACCAGTCTCCGGGGAGAAACTTGTCTTCCCCCCCCCTCCGCTGAATATGCCACTGATTTTCAACTTACTTTGGGGTACCTTCAGAAACGGTAGACGACTTTATCTAGGTTTACCCTTCTTACTCGTTGGTTATCTTTTTCTGCCCAGTGACAGTTTGCATTGATTCAATCATTTGTATACTCGTTTTGATGTTCTCATTGTTAAACACCAGCGTAAAAAAGTCTATGTAAAGTCGTTATCGTTCTGAAATCCAAGCACCTAACCTGCGCTCTTTCAACTCAGAAAAAAACTTGAATTTTGTCGAATAATAGGTGAACACAAACGCCATTCATATCGTTGCATTGCTCCTGGTATAGCATCGTAGTTGTAACCAAAAGTGTATTCATAGAACATGCCATATGCATTTTGTTTGGTTTGGTTGACGCGATAGGCGCATTATACCTTAAACAGTGGTATCGATAGAATCTGCAGAAGTACACTTCAAACACTGGGGCGTTAAAAACACTTTTTGGTGTTATGAGATGGCCACACCATAGGGTGCTACTTTAACACTGCTGGTGTTACTTTGCACACCTATGAATGTTACAGTGCACTGGAGGGTGTTAAAAGTGTTGGTGTAGTCCTCTGATAACACCCGGGGTGTTAAATTTAACATCCCAGTTTTTGCAGTGTTTCCTACTTATAATCGCAATCCTTTACGAGGATGACATTTTGGGGGAATTTGACGTCCGGCGGCAAAGCCCAACATAGATCGACACCATTTTAGCTGTCTCTGTCGCACTGTCCTATCCTTGCCTTCAACACAACAAAAGATTGCTGTGCCCGTTGATCGTAACAGGTTTCATTTCCCTTGGGGGAAATGAAATTAAGACGGTTACCTGTTATTCTGTGTTAAACATTTTAGCCCCCAATCGGACGTCTTACATTGTCAGCTCTTTTGCCGCCCAGAATTTGACCTCAGTGCGGTCAGCTTTTTTGAAAACAAAGTCCAAACGAGCGGTGATTTGTTTGCGGACGGCGTCTCTTTACTCCCCCTCATTTGGGCGGATGAGCCGCCAAAGATTTTACCTTGATGGCGGACATCTGACTCGCTCGGTATTTGCACCCAACATCCAACTCAAATATTACGGGTGAATCGAAATAGTTCACAAATGCCAAGAGTGCAGCTATATTGACTGGGAAAAGTCGCCGAACTATTACAATGTATTCTGGACCTTATACTCCTGTGTGATGGAAGAATCTTCCGTAATATCTTTTGCTCAGCCTTTTCTGTTCAGTGTCTTTGTTTTTGGATTTTCAATTTTTTTCTTATTTGAACGATATGTCAGTGCTTTAGACGTAGTGAAAAATGAAAAAGTACTAAAGTTCGATTGTTGAGCTTCGCGCTTTGTTAGATGACTGAGATTTAACACATTTTTCTTGTGAATAATTTAATTGATCCGTATCATTTTTTAGTCTTATTTATCATTGTTTTGTCGTAGAGGGTAAGTCAGGTGATAATATGATTCCTTGTACCTTGAAACAGGTGGCTACATTTTTGATAATCGGAAAATGACCTTGACCATTACAGTGCTAATACCTGCATTTCGACGTGTTTAAAGGCGCAATAAAATAATACGAGTCCAGTCGCGATTTATCACCTGCGGCAGAAGTTTGTTTCCCTACCCTCCGACCTAAGAACATAAATATCGCAGCTGCTACCAACAAATTTGTCTATTGTGTAAACAAACATTTAGATTTGAGACTTTTTATACGACTTTTTCACGATGGGTGTTTAGTAAAATTGTGGCAACTGTTTAACATTTGTAAGCCAACAGTGTCTGCTATGTGCAAGCCTGCTCTGTAGTATTTTTCAAAAAGTGCACATGGCCTCGGTTTAATAATTATAGTTCTCTTCTAAAAATCAATTGGCCAGGGTGGCCGCCCTTGAAAGTGACACAGTAAGACTGCCTGGTGTAGAATTACACCCAAGCCCTTGCGTATCATTATATCATAGTACCAAAGAAAGGTCGTCTTACCATTATTGCAGGTATGACGAAAATAGCCCACGAATGAGGGAGGGTGATTGGGATCTATTTGTGAGCTTCTATAAGTGATCCTGAAAGGTCATCTTTTCATGTGGGATAAATACCACATCCGTCTTCATGAACAAAATAAATGCCTGTATTGGTTGACTAGTTGTAGCAGCATTGCATAATATCTATCGAGCTTTATTCAGTTCCTTTATTAAAGGTTGCTCGTATAGGATAAGGAATCTTGTATAGGTACTAATGCTCTTGCCCTTAGATGATTTCTGTTTATACTTTCAGGTAACTGGGGGTTAAATCCAACCCAAATGCTTTTAGTCTAACACTTTGGATGAATGTCTGTTGCCGATTTGTTCTGACAGACGACGTGTTGATCAATTTTTTTTCCCCGAAAGGAAGATACCGAGGTTCTCCCTTATCAGTCTCAAAATGAAAGTCATTTTCAACACGTCAAATGTGATTCGGGCACGCACTGTGATTTTGTGCTCCCTGAGAATTACAAGTACATGTCAAACCATTTCCTCGTCGAGGCATGTCCGCCTTGACGTCTGACGCCCGCGGTTTTCACAAACAACGTATTGATCATTGGGGAATTCAAGGGACAGTTCGTTGATCTGTTTCCCATCCAAAAATTGAGGTGCGGTTAAAAAAACGAGAACTGTACACGATATCAATTAAACCCCCAAATGGATCTTCGCCCGACTGAATTTCCTTCCTAACGCAACACATTTATCTCAATTAATGTCAGTCGGCTACAGTAACAGATCAAGTGGGTTGTGTGTTAAGTGCCCACAAATCACATTTTCTGCCCTCATCGAATAGGTTTTGGAGCTATTTTTGATCATCTCGTCCATGACACACGCAGTACTTGCAGTTGACTGAGTGTATGGGCTCATAATTGGTAATATCAATGCCCGAAGGGTCACTGTTTTGCTGTCAAGTGCGCCAAGCCTCAACTCACATGGAAGTGTAATCAGAGTGACCTCTGATAGAAATCGAAAACACTCTTTGTCTTCTGTTAGCCACCAACAGGAATTAATGTCAAGGTGGCCTTGCAGAAACGCACGTTTGCGTGTAATTTCACGCCCGTCTTTTTGCGAACATGCATGATGAAACAAACCAGAAGTGAACAAATCAAGTGTTTGCTTGCTGGAGATTTCTTAATTGCCTATTTAAACCAATATTGTGCGGTTTCCTTATCGGAACACTAGTCATATTTACATGTAGATAACAAGGGGTAATATCCTCAAAATCTATGTTTTTTTCCAATGCTGTTTATATAATCCTTGCTTCTGACCTGAAACAGCAGTGTACATGTATAGGCCCAATCATGCGTAATGCTATGCCATCGATATTCATTCATTAAGCTCGTGACCTCGTTATTTATTTCAAAATATTTCAACTTGTTTAAAAAAGTTTGTTTAAAAGCAGTATACTTGAACGTAAATTTACTGATTACATTGATTTTTTGATGGAGAGGGCGTTTTTCGGCTGTTTATTTCTCATTAAACTATCCATCGACCGAAACGTGTGTTCTTAAAATCATCCTATACGTCTTAGAAGGAAAGGCAGAGTGTATATGCTTTAAATCATTAACGAACATGACTTGATTTCATTTCATTTTTTTCATATTTCGAAAGATGTTTAAGATATTCCCAGTTCACAAAAATTGCTTATTTCTTAGTGATCTACGTTTGAAAGTCTCGAAATTGGAATAAAGTCTTCGCTTGATATTTTCCTTGATCCTATGACACGAGTGAGTTCACGGTGTATTTATTTCTGGGCAGACTTGGACCAAATGATAATGTCAAAAGTCGGAAGCAGCGGTCCGTTATCTAACACGGGAGTCTGCCAGAGAGAAACTCAGGGCGTAAGCATGGTTTATACATGATAGAGCAGATGCAATTAGCGCGAGTACCCGCTAGATTGGATGCGCCTGAGGGAGTATACCTGACAGACGGAATGCAATGATTGCCGTTATAAAGGCTGCCTCTGCAACCAATCATCTCCCTGATGCGACCAACCAGGTGAACCAGCCATAACCGCGTTAGGCACAGACGGTAGGGCAATGTCTGGCTCCCCCCAGCCAGTCCAACCACCCTTTGATCGATCCCTCTACTTCCCCCTCCTCCAGCTCAGCATCTCAAAGAAGATGAGTTGCAGCGACACTCAATACCCAGGCCTCGCCCTAGAAAGAAAAAAAAAGGTCGTAACTCTTCATCCTGTGGTGTATGTGCTTTTTAACCCACAAACGCAGATTGGTTTCCTTCCGCTCGAGTCTCTTTGCCTTTGAAATCCCCCTTGGGTGTTGAGGCACATGCGAACGGTAATTCAAAACCCCCCGTTTCGTTTTTATGGACAGTGCAGCCGTTTTCACCCGAAGGAGCTGTTTCCATGGCAAAAATCCAAAGCGAGGTCTGTCTTACGTTCCAAATACTCATAGAAACGGTTTCTTTCATCGATCTCTTGAGCAAGCTAACCGATGACTGAATTCCCCCTTTATACAGCAAGACTGATCGCTGCGTTAGAGGGAGGTCGTTTAAAGTCGCCGGTTGGACGCTCAAATATGAAGATTGTTGCAGTTGCTTCCGTAATCAGAGATATTGCCAGGGCCTACGTTTTACGCTGTGAGTGAACCGAACATGGACATTGTTTTGATGGCCATGTCAATGAAACGGTAGATCTTATCACAGTATTTGTTCACGTTTTAATTATATCGTCATGGCCGCAAAGAAATTCATTCTCTTACTTTCTACTCTGATATTAAAATTGACTTCAAATTAAATTTGAATTGCCATCCACCGTATTGCGCATCGTGCTTTATCATGCAATATTTTGCGAATGTTGACTTTAAAAAAGAATCAATCAACAGTTTGGTTCAAAAGACTGAATAGCAAATGCTGTTACAGTTGAAGAAGTGTACGTCTTGACTGAACGTTGGTAATTACTTCTACGTCGAGCTGAAAAAGAGAAAATTTCTTTTGCATGGACACGCAGAAGAAGTGGCTTTCCAAATCCACGGTGAGAGTAGACGGTGTTACGTTTGAAAAGAACAGTATGAAGATAGTTTCCTCCATCCAGATGACACTTGCCATCTCTGCTCATCTTCAATCCGACATCTACGGAAAGAGGAGAGTATAGGTGGTCACTTATTAGTAAATGTATAAAAAAATGTTATCAAGGCGTTGGTCCCTTAGCCTTTACTAAACAACCGATTTAATTCGCCATTACTTTGTTGTAAGCTGTACAATCAACGCCAAATGACTCCCGGTCGACGCCAAATTTCTTCGGAGAAGGACCAGTTTCCAGTCTAAACCTTCACTTTGCCTCAGTGTTACACAGATGCATTTCCGTGCCACAAATAAGCTGTTGAATGCAGATGCGGTCTTTAACCTAAGACGCTCGTGTAGAGCACTTTGGAAGGTGGGAAACGCCCCAAGTTATTTTCTGTCGAATGTGCGTGTTCCTCGTGTGAGGTAACTTTTCTTCTCCCATTTTACGATCTTGATGAAACAAGAACACGTTTCGCCGCAAGACATCAAGTGCGAGCGACCCGCTGGTTTGGAGTTAATTTCTGACAACTGAAAAAAGACAAGCCCCGGCAGTCACGGCCGTGCAAGTGCAACATCAAAGAAAAAAATAATAAATCGAATTGACCGGCCAATAAAGCGTAGGAAATCGCCCTACCAAGGCGCGTTTACCTCCGGAGATGAACCATCGTGTTTTCGCACCTGCCACGAGAGGGATCTCTGTGGCGTGAATTGGCCAGGCTGCTCAACCTAGGCCGTGCTTTTCGAGGGCTCAACTCCATCTCGCTTCTGCTCTGATAAGTTTTTCTCTGCTGTTTTTTCCCTTTATTGCCACCTTCTCCCATGTCTGTTTATCTTCCTCTTCATTTGACGCCTCTCATTATATTCACTCGCACGTGCCTCATTTTGGATCGATGAAAATGTCATGCCCTCCTGCAGTCCACCGAGTCTCCGTGCTGGCGTTCTCGCACGAATTCGTCTGGCCCGGTTCAACTCGCCGCTAGTCTTTTTCAATGGGCTTGTTCGTGTTTTAACAGCCGAAAGCCACTATGGTATTCCAACTGCGCACACGCATTTCAGAATTTCTCAGGATTCCCCCGTTGGATAGATAATTTGCCTTGTGCATGCAAACTTTGTGAGATAAACTAAGAAATTGACTTCTCTGTATGTCTTAACCTTATCTGCATTTTATGTGCTCCATCTGATGTTGCAGGTTCAGTTTTCACTGCCGCCATTGGCGTGTACAATTTATCTCCTGCCGTTGATCCCAAAATAAAGCGGCATGCCTTGGTGCCCATGTGCACCTGATAACCGAACTGACTCATTAGGTCAGTGAAATGCCTCGATACGAAGCATGCTGGTAATACATTGGAATAGGCTCCTGAATTACGTAAATATTTTATTCAGCGTCGTGGACACAAACTAAAGGGAAAAGGGTAGAGGTTGGCTTACGTGGAGTAAGTGTAAAGGAAAGAATGGGGGATGTCTTTGGTTCGGTTCCTGCACGGTATTTCTTAGTTCCCGTTTTCTCAGTCTGTTTCCTGTCAATTAAGTTTTGAGAATTGCTTAACTTCCAGCCATTATCTGTAGCCTTGGAGTTTGTTTTATCCGAGGGAAAAAGATCGCTTCAACCGAATATTGACGTGGAGCCTAGTTTGTTGAGTGGCATATGCATGACATACTATGATAATGTATTATGTATTATCAAACTTTTCGAATTTTGTCATTTGCCTAACAATCCACGTTTGTTATTACAGCAATTGGTAATTGGATCGGTCGACTGACCAGGGTGGCCGGGCTCACCAACCGGCCAATCACAGAAAATAAGTTTGCATTTGCAAAAGGGGGCATCGGAAAGAAAAAGGCCATGTCAGACATTTTTATCTGTGACTGGTTCTCGCTTCATCTTTAGTTTCAATGTCTCATATACCTGCCGTTCGTAGAGGCGCTCCCGGCTGCATTCTTGGACTCCAGCTTCGCTGTGCCTCTAATGGTAACGCGGAAGCCATAGGCCTAAGTGACGTCACGAAGCATATCTGACATTCCATCAACCATTGATTCATCCCCCCTTCCATCATCTACCCACCAAGAGTTGAGCACACCCCATGGGAATCACCTTCAGACCCTGACGGCAGCATGTCACACATTCCCTACCTCTCCCCCAAAATCAATGCTATTCGCTTCGGCCTAGTTTTTCTCTTTTCCACCTCGACATCAATACATAAGTGTGCCGCATCAGCGGCAAAGACGGGCAGGGCAAGACGGGCAAGAGTGTCTAATACCCCTGCCCCGACTCCCCTGGGCCGCGAATGTTCACCCCGCCAGCTAAATGAAGAGGCGAGAATTAGTTGGACGGCTCCCTCAATTTACACGGGTTTCTGCATCTGTTGTTGGTATAGAGTGTATTCCATCGAGAATTGGACCCTTGTGTAAAGATTACGCCATACACGATTTCGAGCCTTTCGTGTCAGCTTCCTGACATACTCTGAGTCTAGGATTTACCTCGGTTCATTAATGTTGTCACATACTCAAATTGATAACAAACTTATGTTGTTATCTAAGAGGTGAAAGGCTCTGAGCAGGAGTGTTGAAGGTGCGTAGAGTCTTTTAGCTCCATTTCATACACAAATCGTGAACATGAGTTTGCGCACATTATAAATACAGCAAAGGGCTAGGGTTACACAGAAGGAGGCACTGGATGTTCCAATTTATCAGTAATAAATTCAGTGGAGAAATATCAGAGGGACAATCAACAAAATGGCGGAATTTCACTGCTTTCCCACAAACCGTATATAATGTATATTGTTTCTTTTTGTGGAAAACTTGGATGCTTTATTCGGGAGTCTTGCGACTTGCTGATGAGGGTTTTAATTCCTGGTAACTTGTCTTCAAATTTCCCACCGAGTCTCGTTTCGTCCATGAGTAGCCATCATCCCATCCTGTTTTGAAGGATACCACTCAAGCTCGGACTCGGAGCAAGATCGAAACCTCTCTGGTTAAAATCCGTCTCAGGACTCAGATGAAGAACAAGTCGTCCGTCAGGTTGCCAGTCTCTGCTTTTGCGCGATAGCCGCCTCCCACCTGCAGTGTAAGTGCTCTCACGCAGCTATATACTGGTCATCCTCAGCTGACAGCATGTGATTTTGAAATCGAACCCGTACAAAGTGCACCGTTGATATTTGATAAGATAAGACCCTTTTCCACGCCGGAAATGGCACAAAATAGTGCGCAAAATGTCCCGCTATTATTCCCGGACCAGTGGCATTCTTACCCTTTCCAGTGAGGACGTGTGTTTGATGAATGGGCTTAACCAAAAGAGGAATCCTCTCTTTGCCCCGGACAGGGGAAGAACAGAACAGAAAACCCCTCAGGCCCGCAGTAAACATCGGGCCAAATATAGCCTCTAACTTGAGAAAGGAGCCCTCAAATTATCCGGGTAGGGTTACCCTCCCCATGCCTCTTCGGGGCGCCATTCCTCGGCATGTATCAGCATACACGAAGGTGCCTATTATTCGCAGACTGGAGCCGAGCTTATTGAACACAGCACCGGGTGCACGTAAATTCCGCCCGTTAGGTCAAGGGACGGATCTCGGCGGGGACTGTCCACTTGCTATCTCGAGTTCCACTTAATTAGTCTTTTCATGCGGATAATGATAAGCTCATTCACTTATCTTGCTCTGTTTCTGGAAGGTTGGGGGAGTAAGTTGAATAATTCCAGTGTA